TTATCTAACTTCTTATCTAAAATCATAATTAGTATTAATTAGTATCTTATTTATATTTAAAGATGCTTGGAATTTAATGCATAATAGTGCATATTATTTTCTCCACTCCAATCCTTAGCCTGCCTGAATAACGTATTGTGTAATTAATAACCTAAGGTCAATCGATTTTAGTTATTAAGTGATTAATATTTATATAACTTTAATGCCTTTTAATTAATTAACATAATTTTTAATTTTACATAACAGTATCCGTTACCAAATTACTTTAATTTATAAGCTAATTTTCTATTAATCTAATTCATAATATTATTGAGTCATAGATAATAACATATACTTTATTTATTAAGTTATTTAAATGAATTCAATATATTATAACCTTAACAATTATAAAATCATTTCGGCTCCATCAGTCAAATAATTTAAATATTATTATATTTTTTTTTTGTCATTTCCATTAGGAATTCAAAACAGAAGCTCACGGTTTTAGTGGCCTGTGTGATTGTTTACCCGGCGCTTTGCATCAGAAATTTTTACTTAATTTTTGCCGCTTGAAACGAAATAATTGCACGCATAATTTATTGAAGTTTGTTTTGGATTAAACTATATAACACTGTAAAACAACGTAATTATCCAGTTAAGGAAATAACTATTTAAAATATGTTTGTGGAAGAACACGAAAATATTCTAAAACGTAGTGAAGTAGACCAACAGCCAACATCGGTAAGAGTCCAGAAGAATATAAACAAAGCAATAAGAAATCTAAAAACAATTCTTCTTAAAAAGTTACGAATTAAGTTTGTATGCGAAGATTCTAGAATAGATGGAGATACACATAGGATATGAGTTGCAAATACATTATCTTCGTTAAAATACCAACACTACTAAGATTCAAAAGTTTTGTTGCATATGCTATATCATATAAATGCCAAAAATGCTGTTAATGATATCAAGTCTACAGATAGAAGACTACCATTATCTTTGATGGTAGTACAAACTTTCATTAGCTCAAAAAAATATCAGTTGACCCTTAATGCAACCTCATGTTTAACCAACTAATAATGGCAAATAAACACTTTCAAATCCTTCTATGCAATGTTTAATACAGACTAAGTCTTTTAAGACCAAAAAGGAATCCAAGTAAGTACTCTCTTTATTTTAGTTCCAATAAATATTATTATATTAGCCTTTCTTAAACTCAACCGAAATTCACAAATTCTATGATATGACTTACTTAACAATTTATGAGGCTGGTTTGTTTATTTATGACATACCTATGAGTCATTCACAACTATAGAAGTAGTTTTCAAGACCGTAGATAGTCAACTTAGAAGTTTATTCTTATTAAAATTCTTATCCAGTAATAAAGTAAAATAGAAAAATATAGTACTTTAGCTGATCGTGATCTGTTATAATCATATATATAACGACATAAATATATTCATACACACACATTATTGTAGAAAAATTCTTCTAAGAGTGTTTATGGCTTAAAACATTTGGTAGTGTGGTTTATTACTTCTTCAAAAGATGTTAGCAAACCTACATAGGCTCGAAAACATAGTACTCGAAAACTAAAGATTTACTGAAATATTGTGATATTTGACTTATTAAGTTGCTTGTAATACATGTAACCATATAAACTGTACACACTCTGATTCACTGACTTAGTATGTCTGTTAATATAATATATACAGTAGACGCTCAATTTTAAAGTAAATAGAATAATTATTTTTTCTTCCAAATTCTGGAAATGAAAGTTAAGCCGTACATGATTGGTATATAAAACCATATAACCAATGTGAATAATTAATATCAAAAATACGAATTTATATCTGAATATATATATGATATGTTATGATGAATATGATAAGTGCGTCGATAAGATCTTTCGTCATAAAAGTGGTTTGAAAAAATTTAATATTATTATTCTGTACTCCATAAAATCTCCAACTTTTTCTATCTCTAACAATATAACGTAATTCATTTAAAGGTTTGCCGGTTTGATTTGTTATCGTTCTTCTCTAGGTGTTACGTGGTCTTCCTCTGTGTTCGTCGCTAAGATCTGTCGTCATAAAACTGATTTGAAAAAATGTGATATTATTATTCTGTACTCCATAAAATCTCCAACTTTTTCTATCTCTAACGTAATTCATTTAAAGAGTTGCCGGTTTGATTTGTTATCGTACTTCTCCAGGTGTTACGTGGTCTTCCTCTGTGTCTGTTGCCTTCAGGGTTACATTAAAGTGTTGCATGGCATATTTCGTCGTACAGCTAACGAAGATTGTGGCTAAGACATTTTCGATGCGTGACTTGTTTTTTGATATATTCTTGGTTTGTGGATGTCATAAGTAGTATTTATTTGATTTGTAACACTCGCATCGGAGTGAAGGGTATGCAAGCTTCGATGAAGCCAAAGATTATTTTGTTCCTCCTTTTTTAGTTTTATTACTTTTAATGGTTGGTTGTGTGAGCATTTAATTTTTAATAAATAAACAAATAATGGATTTGGTTTGTTATATTTTTAACTTCCAGCGAATTTGTTTTGTTTTTTCTTTCACAAAACAAACTAAAAATCAATTTAAAATTTGTGTTAAGTGAGTCTTAAGCCATTTCATACGATTAGGTTTACATTATTTTTTTTTTAAAGTATCTCGTATCTAAACAACGCATTTCTAACCAATTTCAGACTTTATTTTGATTATCGTTTTCGTACGTCCAATTAGCATAGCGAATGCAAATGACACGGCCTGCATTATACGAATTACAAATTTGTGTAAAATTAGTGTGTTTTCTGAAACGCCGAAATATGTAAATTAGGTTCATTTCTTATGTTAATCACGAACAGATGGACGAATAATTCAGATTTGCCTATAATTATGCCGATTGCGTTAATTTCCTCTTTAGGTTTCAACATGTTTGTGTTTTCATAAATTTTCCATGCAATATTCTGTCAAGTTGAATTGCTTTAATGTTGATCTCGACGATGATAAAACACTTTTGTTATCTTAATAAATCATCTACACCAACAAATTAATTAATTAAATTATAATACCATACACTATCACAAGTAAATTTAATTTAATAAAGGCAAATGATTTTTATTCTATATAAAATAAAATTTAAAACGATGTTTATAACAAATTATGCTAATCAACCAATAAAATAATAAAATTAAATTTTTTTATTATTTTATATACAAAAGATATATTGAAGATGTATAAATAAATATACACCTACAAGGCGTTATGTCAACTGCATATAAATGTGTGTTTTTATAAATTTGCTATATGGAATTATTGAAAAAATTAAAAATGCAATAAATAAAAATGGTATTAAAAACCAGAAACCACCTCATAAATTTCGTTCTAAAAGGAACTAAAACAATATACAATTTCAACACTAAAGAATACGAGTTTTGTTTTCAGATTTGGTTCTCTGTAGATAGAAAAATTAATTTGAGATGGCACACAACAAAAGTAAATGCAAATAAAATCATCATTATGCAATATTAACTTTCAAAAATCAAAGTTGAATAAATTTTTCTGTATAAAAATATATTTCACTTCTTTTTTAAAATACTTAAATTATTTTATAATAAATTTGCACTTTAAAAAAATCTAGTTCGAAAAACATAATGGCAGTATATATACAAAATACGAATTTAGCAAACTGAACTACACTATTTACTTCTTTTTCCACCATCCGCTGCTGCCAGAACTAGCGCTAGCAACACTGCTAACAGGTGCAGACCAGCCACCATGACCACCTCCGTAGCTACCTCCATAACCACCGCTACCGCCGTAGCCACCACCGCCATAGCCTCCACCGCCATAGCCACCACCACCGTATCCGCCAGCGCTGGATGTGGTTGTTATGACTTTGTAAACATCTACATGACCGCCATGACCACCGCCATACCCGCCACCGTAGCCGCCTCCATAGCCGCCACTATAACCTCCGCTATGGCCACCACTATAACCGCTACTGTAACCGCCAGTATTGCCACCATAACCATAATTGCTAGCATATCCTGAGCTGCCACTACTGTAGCCACCACCATATCCGCCGCCACCATAACCGCCACCTCCGTAGCCACCACCGCCATAGCCACCGCCGCCATAACCACCATCAGTTATAATTTTAATGACTTTTACTTGACTGCCACCTCCGTAGCCACCACCGCCATAGCCGCCACCGCCGTAGCCGCCACCGCCATAGCCGCCACCACCGTAGCCACCACCGCCATAGCCGCCACTATGACCACCACTATAGCCGCCACTATAACCGCCACTATATCCGCCGCTATAGCCACCACCGCCGTAGCCACCGCCACCGTAGCCACCACCGCCGCCGCCTCCTTTCAGCGAACCCAATACATTTAATAATCCAAATGTTGCATTTGCTGTTGCCAGCACTGTGAACAGTGCTACCAGACACAAATATGTCTAAAATAAAAAAAAGTCCATTATATAATCCACAGTTTTGTACGATTCCAGACATATTCGTCTTCATGGGAAAACACTTACTTTCATTGCTTTAGCTTCACTTCACTTCAGTTCACTTTTGAAACGAATTTTGCCAACTAATTTTGGCTGGTGAAAGAACTTTGCTTTTTATACTCCATAACGAAAGAGCCATCTTGTCTAAAACAGAGATTCACTTTTTTATTGTTATTGTTGTTATTGGTTTTTTTTTTTCGTTCTACAAAACGGAAAACACATTAGCTCCATTGCTCACGATGACGGTCAAGATCAGCCGTTTGAGTCTCGCTTTGGATTTTGCTTTGCAAAAGGCATTTATGTACGTGCTCTTGAAATCAGACAAATTTTGGGTTTTTTTCATTTACTTTTCTTAATTTTTTTTATATAATATCTACATTATTATATATATTTTTTCATTATCTTATGTTAGACAAATTAATGGCTTCTGTAGATGTTAATCAGTAATGAAGTGAGTAGAACTCACGCGAATTGCCGTAAACTTGTTTCAGAATTTGTCAACAGAATTTTTGATAATTTTATTCTAATTGCACGTAGGGAATAGAGTAAGAGAGATACTCTGCTAAAATACTTAAGGTTTAACACAATAAATTTAAATAAAACACAGTCTGCGAAGAATGGTGTAAAAATAATTTTTTGTGTAGTAGTTTCACAGCGTGAGTTTAATACAACCGCTACAATTATGCGGGTACACCTTATAGTATTTAATTTAACCAACCCGTATATCATTAAATTAATATTACTCTAAATGATGAAGCAAATTAGTTAATTTTTTAAAAATTATTTACCGGTATAATTGGTTTTTTATATTCTGTCAAGAAAAAAATATCAAAAATACCAAAACCATTAAAGATCATCAACATAATTCACTAAAGTAATTAAGTCATACCTTCAAATCATCTTATTGCATTTCGAAATAAAAATAAATTTAATTATATGATTTCCTACTAAATTCACATCATTTTATGCCGAAGGAACTCATGCATACAGTCAGTGCTCAACTCAGCGCAAGAGGACACATCAAAAAATACGAAAATCAGAAGAACTGCATTAAACACAAGGAATTAAAATGGGGTGAATGATTCTCTTTCTAAACAATATTACAGAGTGTAAAAATAAGATATATAATTAAATCGGTGAACACAATTAATTGATATTTTGACAATATTAGTTTGACAACTGGGCTTCTCAGTTGATTCCCTAAAGTGTACTAGTCAGACTTTATATTATATAATGTAATACTTCTTATACCTTTTCATATTATATGTTATATAAAATCTATATATACATATGTACAGATAGACATATAAGGAACCATCTCTTTTGTGATCCTAATTACACAGTACGGTTTTAGTGACAAATCTTTAGCAAAAATTGCCATATCAGATGTTCAATTTAAGATTTGTCATTTAACAAAATATGGACCGCTTAACATCCGCTGAACATGTTTAAAACGTTAAAATCTACTAAAATCTAACTGCTTGGGATATAATTGCTCTAGGGTAGTGACACGCATATATTTTTTTGAAAACAATGAAGATGATTTATTGCATATCCGTACTCCTCATTAGAAGTGTATTTTAATTACGTTTACTTTAGAACCACAAAATGGACTCCAATTTTCAAACAACCGGAAAATTGCCTTTTATATTAGCAGATAATGAAATTGATGACCTTACTTAAGATCGTCTCTATTCGGCTTTTCGAGATGATCAAGTTGATATATAGTTTGTATGTTATCATCTATGTCCTATATATTCTGTATTATAAATTTGTCTTTTAGACTCTTTCTACATAAAAAATTTTACTTAAGCACTCTTGTTACTTATAATAACGTAAAAATTTTATGATACTGTATATGTCAGGTGTGTACTTTACTTTTGTGAGTAAAGGGTATATTAGTTTTATTATACCTTCTTAATCAACAAGCCGGGATGAATCAATCAAGTCATCTCCATCTATCATATATTTATAATTTACTCGCTAACTAGCAGAGCTAATCAATTTAAAATTTGCTCCGGGCCTTTTTGTAACTCTAAACAGATGTAATTTGAATATGATTAACACTAATTGACAATGTTGCACCCATAAAAATAGTTGCCAAGAAAGAAATGAAGATTCAATATCACAAATCATAGTTGAAGACTTAGACGTAAAAGTTTATTCAATATTGTTAATAATGGCTTTAAGTAGAATTTTCTTTGTGAACGGTATTGAAACTTTAGCAATGTTATTCTAATTGTTTGTCGTCTAGCGATCCCATATATGAATCTTATTGAAATTATGTCTATATAGAAACTACATATATATCACTGAACACTATAATCTGTGCGAGGGGTACCAAAGTTTTATTAATATTAAATCTCACTTGGAATCCTATAATTAAACTACCCTTCTAAATGGTATTGAGGCTGTAAATGGTATTTTTCAACATGATGATAAATCTCTGTTCTGAAGAGAACAGTCTATGGGAAGAATATTGTATCTACTATATATGCGAACTATATTGTGGCTTTATCAATACTTATGCTAAGTTTTCGTCTTACACCTGAACTATTAGTTTAAAAACGTTTAGTCTGTACTAAAGCTAGTATGTGTATTATAACTGAACTATCTGTGTGAAGAGTATTGAAGCTTTGGTTATATCAAATCATATTTTCTGGCATATAGCAAAGCGATCTATATAAATGATATTCATATTTTATTAGTATCAAAGCTTACTCTATGCAGCACAACATTACTACGTGTGTGAAGGCTATTGAAAGTTCTGTAAAACTAAAATCCGCATGATTTATTTTTCTACTTATTTTAAAACAAGTATAATATTAGCTAATTTAACTGATTCACTTTTTAATGGAAGCTTAATCATTGCAGTTCCTGAATTTGTGGTTTTCTTCATTTTGCATAATTTTGTTTATCTTTTTCAAATATAAATCAATATTTATGTGTATTATATACATATATATCATAATAAACCTACAAATTATTTCAGATATATAACGTCACCACAATAGAGTTGTTATAAATATTTAGCATAACAAGTTTTGAGTATTGTTTCCTATCTTTTTAAAATTGTTCCAGCATTAGAATAAGCTTTTTGCCATTAAATACACAGAATTTTTTTTTTTTTTGACCGAAACTTAAGCAAATATTATATATTCATCACGATCGATTTGATTAACATATGTATTGCTTAAGGTGCAAACTTCTAGAAAACTAAAATTAAATATTACATGCTTATATATATGTAAATATATGCCTATATATCAAGCCTATATATTTATTTAAACTGTCGAGTAAATTTTATTATGTTAATTTTGTAAATTAAGTTTAGAATTATGCTAATATCTTACAATGGGGAATCCCCTATTATTATAAAATATAAATTAATAATTCTCTTCTTCTCTCACTCAATAAATACTACTATGTGAAAACTACTAAATTTATATTTCGATATTAACAATATTTCAAGTTTGGGAATTTCAAATTTGAAAAATAAAAATCATGAGATTTTTGCAAACCCACAATTAATGATCAAAAATATTTCAAAAGTTCGAATTGCAGTTTTTTTTTTATATTAATAAACACTGCAAAACTATTTACTACTCTGAACCGGTTCCATAAATATTTAATGTTAATCAAATTAATTTTTGACAAAAAAGTGTAAAATTTGCAAAAATTATTCCAATGATAAGATACAAATTAGCTACTCTATAGTTATGCATCTCTGGAATTTGCGATGAAAAATTCAGTTAAAACTGAAAGCAGACCAAATTTTGTGGTCAATATAATCAAACCGAAAGATAAAAATTCAAATAAATGGATGATAAATAATGAATGTAGTTTATTATGCTAACAACAATGTTAACTAACCTAATAGGTTATTATATAAGTATATACACATTTATATACACATATACATACACGTTTTAATATTCCTTTAAGACCAGATAGTTCTCATTGCGCTAACAAAAGTAAGTAATACTAAAAATTCTACAAAATATATCAAAATATTCTTGAGTACTTCAAAAAAATGAACTGGTCCTTCTGTATACTTTTAATTACCCAACCATAAGTGTATCTGTCCATCTAATTGATCAATCATCTATTTATTTGCACTTGCGAATTTTCAAGACATGTCATTAACATTGAAATCTCTCAAAATTTTCTTGAATAGTTGAAGAAGTCAAGCCTATCGTGCAATGTACTTCTAACTACTCATCCATCTCTATCTGTACCTTCTGTTCAAAAAGGATTTTGTTGTTTGTTAACTACTCCTTAAGTAATAGATCTTTTTCAAAAATGTTGGCATATGTGTATCGCTTCAGAAGGAGCATATTTTGAAGGAGATAAATTAAATTTGAAATAAAATTTAAATTTGTGTTTTATTTACAAAATCCGGGTAATTTTTGAGAAGGTATTATACGATCATTACCTTTGCTCTTGCGAATTGAAGAAAACCTCAAAGGTTCCACAAAGAAAATCAAAATTTGATGGAGTAGCTCAACAAGCAATGTGCTTCTAACTTCCCATCAATTTATTAATTTCTCTATCTATGTTATATCATCTATTTATATGAGATCATTAAGTTAAAGATCATTGAGTGGAAGATAGTAAAACATGGCTTTTCTTCTAAGTATACATATGTATTAATAATTTCTTTATTAGTTCAAAAAAGCAAACTAATTCAGCTGAGTAGTTTCTCTTTAACTACTAACCACCTGTTAAACTGTCCATAGCTCTCTTGGTATCTGAATGTACCTAGAAAAAGTAAAATTAAGAGATTTCATAACTTAAATATATTATTTGCGTTATCTATTTAAGTCAAAGCGGTAGACAGAACCACGAGACTCCTGAAAGTATAAAATTTAATGTGTTCATTATCAAGTAAACAATATAAGATGGTAATGCTACTTTTTTCTATTATATCCCCTTTTTTGAAGGGAAATATTATCTCTATACATGTATATGTTTCCATGTAAATTATTTTTATAGTTTATCAAAGTTTAAAAAAATATTACGGATGATAGATAATCAAAACTCTTTCAAAACTTTTGTTTATATCCCTTTTGTTAACCCATTGTGTTATCACAGTTTTCGGAGTCCCAAGTAACCCAGATAAAGATATTCTCATTTTGGACTGGTAAATCACATTAGGTATTATATGAATAAAATGTCTGTACGAGTAATTCCAATATTAGCAATATCACCAAGTACTTGGAAAAAGAAGATCCGAAAGTTAATAAACGTTTATTGTCAAGTGCTGGGCAGTGACAAAATAGATAAATGGGATACATAACCAGTGACTGACTGATAACTGAATATTTATTAAACAAAAAAAAATTTTTAGTCGTTGAATTCATTTTAATTAAATATAATCTGTTTAGTTTGCTTAAGTATAAGTATAATTTCATATAAGCTATTCCAGATGCATACCAAAATATTCTTCAGTTATACACAGTGATACATTCAAATACACTGATGTGTGAAGGTGTAAAAAAACCATTTACAATAGGAACATTTCTGGGTATTTTCTTCTTAGAATTGCAGAAATATTCGAAGGTAATATCAGGTATTTCGCAAACTTTTTAGACCGTAATTCATACGATCGTAATATTTATTTACGAGTTCTCATATATCTACCTTGATTGCAAGAACTGTCACCTGTCGCCGTGCCTGTCAGCTCTAGTGTATTATACCAGTTAGGTTTCAGCACATAACTGTAGTCCCTAATCCGAATTAATTTTCATTGCAGTACTATAAATCAGAAGCTTGTTTATCATTAATAATTTAGTGAAGTTAAGAAATGCATTAAATGGAGCTGAAAATATTGCGGTTAACTTTCAACACTAAGAAAATATAATACAATACCAATAATACCTACTTTGACTATAAAAGTTAAATTTAATTAATTTACACCATTATTTATACAGCAATATTACCTGTGACATCACTTTATAAAAGTATTATTAAGAAATAATTTGAATTTATATAAAACATGTAAAACACTAATTCATTTATTAAAACATGTCTTACACCTTCTTCCTGATATAATAAGTCTATCAGTTTTAGAAAGTTTAAGTGGACTTTTCATTTTTTAATAATGTCACGGCTCATCTTCACGGAAGTGAAAGTATGCAGACTTTGAAAAGTGCCAAAATGTTGATATTAAAATAATTACTTTCATTTCATGATTTTAGACGTAATGAAATAAATTAATTTTGTGTATTTTTAATTTTTATTAAATCTTTTTTTTTATAACAAAAAAACAATAACAACATTAACAACGCCTACGAATGCACATTGTTGCCTAACAAATTAACAACAAAATTTAATTTTAGCTTAACAACTGAGCCACTATGTGGCGCTGTTTATCACAAAGGCGGGGTGTGGTAACCGCAACATATTTTCTATTAAATATACTTGTGGCTTTTAGTTAATTTCGTTAATATAGCTAAGTTATCAGTACGAAGAATAAAATAGTTTATGTATTATGTACAAGTGAAACGCATAAACAACACGATGTTTGATGATGGACTAGATCAAGAAACTTACTTAATCCCAACCAGAACTGCCACCGGCGGCCCAACCACCTCCAACGCTACCGCCAGAAGCCCAGCCACCGCCTACTCCACCGCCAATACCACCTCCGTAGCCACCACCGTAGCCACCGGCATCAGCACCAGCGGAACTAATTACTTTGATGATCTTAACTTCACCGCCATGGCCGAAACCGCCAGCATCACCACCATGACCACCGGAAAAACCGCCGCCAATACCACCGCCGATACCGCCGCCAATATCTCCACCAAAACCGCCATGACCACCACCGAAACCACCATCTTCATGAATAACTTTAATTACTTTGACTTCACCGCCTGAATGACCACCGGAATAACCACCGCCATGTCCACCAGAGAAACCGCCATAACCACCGGAGATGCCACCATGACCACCACCTTGACCACCGCTGATGACTTTAATGATTTTGACTTCTTCGGCACCGCCACCATGACCGCCAGCAAAGCCGCCATCATAGCCACCACCGAAACCGCCATCAAATCCGCCACCACCGCCGCTATAACCACCATGACCACCACCAACGCCGCCGCCTTCGCTAATAACTTTCACTACAGCACTGCTACCGCCAGATGAATGGCCACCACCGAAACCGCCGTCAAATCCGCCACCACCGCCGCTATAACCACCATGACCACCACCAACGCCGCCACCTTCACTAATAACTTTCACTATAGCACTGCTGCCACCTGATGAATGGCCACCGCCGCCGCCACCATAGCTGTAACCACCACCGCTGTATGAGCTGGCACCACTATAACCGCCACTGTAGCCACCACCGCCACTGTAGCCTCCACCACCACCGCCACCACCTAGACCCAAAAATCCAGCCTGTGATGTGGCAACTAAGGCAAAGAGGCAAACGAAAATCTGCAATAAAAATTCAACTCATTAATATGAAACCATATACTCCTCATTAGTTATATTCCACCTTCATATTGTTGTAAGCACCGTTTAGTTACTGCTTATGTACTCAAGTAGACGAAGTCAACCAAACTGTAGCTCCGAAACGAATTCAGACACTGACATTGATGCTCACAAAGCAACCGATTTTATAGTCCCAAAAATTTTGTTAGATCTGCAAAGCTAAGTAAAATGCAAAAAAAAAAAAACTTGACCACATAAAACTAAATATTATTACAAAAAAAAGTTTAACGTAATCGAAAGTGTTTACATTCCCACAACTGTGTCTGACTTGAAGAGGCACACCAATCACCGGCATAAACTAGTTGATCCAACGATGACGAATCTAAACGCTGAAACACATGTGCAAAAAATCTTCAGCGTTACAATTAAACATAGTTCAAAAGATATGAAACCACACAAAGAGCAACCAAAAACCAATATATTGTATGTAAAAACAATCAAGTAGAAGAAGAAGTGGCTGACCCGCAACTTCGCTCGAACCACTCGTGCCTAACATGAAAGTCAGTTGGTCAAACGTAACTACTCTTCTTCTTCTTCTGTCTTAGTTTTATGTTGTTGTTTTATTTTCTTGATTGCTGCGATATTTGTTGGTGAACATCTTTCTCTTTAGTTTTGCACTTTTCAATATCTTTGAAAATGAATTCATTTTATTGCATCAAAACTTTTATGACTTCCCTCTTCAAAAAACAAAACGACGAAAAGCGGTGATTCCGTATCTAATTCACAATTTGTTGAGAGCAGCAGGTCAAGCAACTCAACAGCGACAGCAACAGTAACAGCAGCTGATACTGTTGCAGATACTATGTATATTGCTGATACAGATACTGTTGCTCATGCTACTGCTGTTGGTGCTGTTGGTGCTATTAGTGCTCCGATTGCTGCGATTGCTGCTGCTGGTGAATGTATTTCAACTTCGTTGCTGGCGACGATTAACAAATCTATGCCGGTTTACAATTTTTTTTTTGTTTTTTTTTTTTAACATAACTTCAAGATTAAAGTAACCTTCAGCTCGTTTTTCTGCTTTTAGCGCTTTGCTTTCTTCAGCTTCCAATCTTCCCAAATAATTAACAAACTAAGCGACTCATTTATTTTTAGCATTTTAAATGTGTTTTAGTGTGTCTCCATATTATCCCACTTTTATTTCACGTTCGTATCTCTTTAACTGTGTTAATTGCCGGTGATGCAATAATAAATTTATGGTTCCATTTTAATTAATCAAAACATCAGACAGGTAACCTATTAAACAATGTTACCTCATAAATGCAAGTGAGTGATTACCGCTGGGGCTGATATAATTTTGACGAGATTAGTTGCTCCAGGCAAAACCGTTCATATTTATGACCAATTGTTTGCTTGACCAAAGTACGGATGCCTCTTCAGTGCTAAATTGAGTGTTCAATGAATTGCAAAAATAGTACACAGAAAGCATACCATAATTTGGACTAATTTTCTACACTTAAATTGCAATTAGTTTTATTTGAAATTTTTTATTATTGATAATCTATCAACTGAATACTTTGACGGTACTTAAATACAATCAATAATAAATTTTCACATAAGGAAATCATTAAGTTTTTGACCCCATCCTAGATTTTCTTTTGATTTTGTGGAGTTTCATAAGAGATTTCTTTTCAATATTTATATTTTTTTGGTATTATTTTGTATAATTTTTGCCCATCAAACAAAAAATGTTTATAGTTAAACATTAGTGATTTTCTTTATTTTCACATACGATACAAACATATCACGATTTTAATCTCTTCATACATTTTAATACGTTAGTAACAGAAATACTCCTTCAAATTATAAAATTATTATTTAGAGAAAAATAAAAACATGGGAAATATTTACATAAAGTGCACTTTTCATAATTCAGCTTAAGACCTCTTATGTCAATGAAAATCCTATCTTGAAGTTTCCTTCGTAAGTTCAAATTTTCACACAAAGTTAAATATACATAAAGTTATGGATTATTTCCTTACAAGCAAAAATAAAAACCACAGTTTAAACTGGTTTATTAACAAATAACACAATTCATATTTGTAAATAATAACAGCTGTAATTTTTTCTTTCAGAGTAGCAAAAAAATACTCACAACTTACGAAAGAAAACATGAGAAGCAACAACAGTGCTCTTAAAATATTCAGAGTTAGATTTTACTCGCAAAAAATCTTAAGTTTAAATCTTAAGTTTAAGTGCTGCCAAATTCAAAAATCAATCTATTGTGCATGTTCACTGGGAATATATTTCAAAATCATATGAGCGTTTCATTTACTATTAAATTCAAATACACGAATAAATAAATTAATTAAAATATATAAGATAATAATACTTACCATTGCACTTCTAACATTCATTTTGTTTTCTTTTATGTAAATTAATTAATTAATTAATGTTTACACTTTTTATGTTTTATATTGTACATAAGACTACAAAAAACATACCATATGTCAAAAACAAGCATTCAAAATTTTTTAAAAGTGATGCCAATTTATTTTAACCAGACTAAATGCTGTTTTTTTACAACTCTAAAAGAAAAAATTGCGACTAATAAAAGAAATTTCATTTAATTAATAAAAATTTTACAAATACGTTATATATACATAGAGATCTTTGGAATAGATCTAGAAATAGTTAGCCTGCACACTAACTACCAGCCACATCGGTAATTGCTTTATAAATTATAAATAGGATATTACAGGTTATTAATGGGTTATTACAGGTTATTGTTAAACAAGGCTAACACAAATTTAAACAGAGCTCCTAATCCAATGTTATATATTATTAATATATGTTATAATAAGCATAAATAAATTTGTTTCAGTTCAGAGTAGTAGAAATCTCTGTCTTTAATCAACAGTTATTTAAAGAAAAACAATATAAGTCTTAATATTGAGTTGATTATGCCTGTTTTTAATTTCCTCTTTACACCACAAATGTAAGGCTTCTTACGGAAGGAATTTAAAGTGTGTTTTTATATTTGACTCATATATTGCAAGTTCAGACAAACTGTAATCATAAACTTGAATTCTTTTCTCAATTTTTAATTACTAAACCTATAACGCCTGTCTATGAATACTTCTCCCTGCAGATAAGGATTTGGAATATTTCTGAGGTAACGAGGACACGGTTGGGAGTGCGAATCGTTGTGAGTATCCCCATTTACATTATCCTAAGACGTAAATCCGTTACCACGTGAGTCAGATGACTGAAACTTCGGCTCTCCAAACCAACTGAGTTCGGCAGTGTCGTGGTGGCTGTGTGTAACTAATGCCTAAACTTACGCAGAGAAAATAATTGTACTTTACCATATTTTCATCCGGCTGCTGTGGTCCAAAAATCAGAAGAGATGAACTCCGGTCTTTATTAAAAGTGAAGTTATGCGAAGCATATAACTTCAATTTGTGTCAGTGGAAATTCCTTGAAATTTCCGATGTGCCGCCTTAACTTATACTTGGGTTTTTTAGAGCACCTTGGGGTTAAGCCATCACTGACAGGTGCTCACGCTAAACAACACTGGATTCTTTTTATAAATACTTACAAATTATTAAAAAAATACAATTCAGTAGTACAAGTAAAATTAAATCAGTTTCTATGATTTAATAAAGTTACAGTAAAGATATTTTTTGCTGAATCTATAAATCTGTAGCGCTTTAGTCTTCTTGTTTGTATAGTTTCTAGGTAATAGTATGCTCATTTCTAGCAAGGAAATTTTATCATTTCAATAAAACGAGCTTGTTTTTAAATCCTATACTATATTACCAATATAAGATGCATACTTGATAAAAACAGATCCTCAAGTTTATTAACGTTTAAGAAATAAGTATTAGACAAGTAGCACAATAAATGAGTAAAATATTTAGCAGTCGAGAGATACAGCCACAATTTAGACATTAAATACTTAAGCGTAAATTATATTCTAACTATCTAACTGAAAATTAAAAATATTCTGAATTAAAAAATTTATTTCCTAGCATTTTTAGTAATCTTTGTAGTTCATTTACTTATGAGTATTATTCTTTATAAGCATGGGTTATACATAGTAATATATCCCTATGAAATGACAGATCCCGATGTAAATATATCACTTATCATATAAATGTTTCTTAGGATGTCTGTTTCTTAGGTTTGTAAAGATATTCAGAAATGATAGTGAGTGTAATCCTAACCCAAACACATCCAACCCAAACTAGTTGAACGATAACGCATTCATTATAATTTTCCTTTTAGATTGTATCAGTATCTAAAATTACTTGAAGTTATATTATTGAAATCTCTTTGCTTGTGCTATAGGTGCACTCAATCTACTTGGTCGTTTAGATTGTTCGTCTGAAAATGGAGTACAAACAAACTTTTTGAGCCGTTTGTTGCTCAAACATTTTGAAGTATTATTTCTCAATCGTGTAGTGAAGTGTATGCAAGCTTTGCAAGTCGTCATTAATATTATTTTTTAAGAATGATAAATTTGCTAAATAAATTTAAATAAATTTGGGAAAAATTAGATATAGCAAACAACACTGTTTAACACTAGTATACAGTATAATAATAATAAACATGTATACATACATATATACATATGTATATATATTTCCATACAACACTCTTGACCATAACCTTTTAATATATTCATTACCACAGTTTTTATTGAAAACTGCATTTAATTTTTTTAATTTTAATGATTATTTTTATTTATTAATTTTTGGTTTGGCCATGTACACTCAATTTATTTCCAAGTTTTTGAAAATATTTAAAAGTCTCTTAACCAATATACCACGAACATTCAAAACTAATTCCAAGAAAATATTTTTTTCATTCATCTGAAATATTAATTTAAGTATTTGCAATTATTTCTTCTTCAAATTTTAAAAAAAATTGAAGTTTGTCAAATTGCTTTTTAAATTGTTTTTATTGGATTTCTCGGTATAATATTTCATAGCAGGGATATTCAAAAGTATTATAAGTATGTATATATAATTACAATTTAATAGACATGTATATATTATGCATATATTTATGTATATGATATGACATGTCGGTATAAATATTGTTCATATTACATGTGCAGTTTTCTCATATTAATCATTT